GCTGAGAGCTGCTTTCAGTCCTTGCAGACAGCTCCTCATGGAGATATCCTTTCATCAGACAGGACAAATTCACCTTACTGGACTTACCAGCCACAGGTCCAGCCATCCTGCCACACGGAGGGTCTCATGCTGCACCCGTAATGACACAGGGTCCAGATGCCACTGCCCTGACATCAATCATACGCACAACACATAAACTTTCGGATTTACCAGCGGTGTCATTTTTATTGTTTCATCCATCACACTGAACTCTTCACTCCGCAGGCAGTCTCTCCCTCTAAGTGTTTCTTGGGGTTGTGGAGCCCGAGGACAGAATTGAAGCTTTGGAAGTATCATAAAGGTTATTCCCATTGACACCCACCACAATCTTATTGTCTCTCAAGCTAAATAGTAACGGTCACTTGAAAAGTTAATGGTGATGCTGCTACCAAAAGTCTTGTGATGGCTGCGCCTCCTGTCAGAAAAAAACACTCAAAGTGAGTCTGAAATCAAAGCAGACAAAGCTAAAGTTCTGCTTATGAAGGCCCTGCCCAGTCACGGCAGCATTGTCTCCTTTGATCTCAAATTCACTTTTAAAGTCTCCAAACAGAAGGTGCAGCTCAACCTTGGAAACTGAAGATGCAAAATGGGAGCGCCACCCATTTACTTCTCACGTGGCTGGTGCTAACAGGTGGAGGATGCTTAACAAAAACCCATAATAAGCCCCCAGTGCCAATGGGAATTATCTACCCACATTATCCTTTGGTGCCCGTGCTTCCCAGCACGGGTGTGCAGGGCATTTTGTTATTCCAGAAACCACCGAGCGCAAATGGAGTGGCTCATTCCAGCTGAACCAGGACTTTCTGCATGAGCTGACATTTTGGAAAGTAGTTTCCTTCTTGGAGCTTAGATGGGATTTTTCTGGCTTTAGCAAAGTGGGAAATTGTCCATAGCCCTTAACTTCCGCTCCTAGCATATTTTCACTAAGTGACTTGCAAGCAAAACAGTCCAGAAAATGCTTGGTCAGAGCAACACGTTTTTATAGCCACTTTATTTGAAAGAGCAGAATATTTCTGGTAATGCAGTTGGAATGACAGTTCCCTAATTTTTCACTATGCCATTTGCTGCTTTTGCACACATTTATACCTTTGGATTTAGAGATAAAATTGAGCAGCACTGCACCATTTCAGGAGCCACGAACAACCTTACCCTCTCCAGAGTATGGAGGACCCAATAGACCCACTGGAAAGATAGGAAAGGACACTTTTGATGGGGACTGAAGCTCCAGTCACCTCCTTCCTTCACCATGCTACTTCTTTCCTGATGACACTTAGCTCGGAGCTGGGAAGGGCAAAGCTGGCAGACTGGAAGATTGCCTAATGTGCTGTGACTGACATGTAATCGAATATTCAACCACTGGTCCTCATGTCGGCGGTAAAGTGAATATGACACCCTTCAGCTTAGTTGTGATCACGCCTTGTTCTTCTGCAAACAGCTCCATAAAGGTGCAGCCTGGCTTCCCGTATGAGGCGGATGTGTGAGATGGGAGAGCAGTCACGGAGGTCACCTGCTGCCGGGAATGTTCCGAGGACCTGCGAGGGACTGACCTTTAAATGCCAGGCACATCCCTGCCGCGCGGCCCCGCGCCTTGCGCCGAGGTGGGACCCGACGGACGCTCCGCTTTCACAGCCACCATCGCGCTCAATGACCTGGACGAGCCACCTGTTCGACTTCAGAGGAGTCTTTATCTCTCCGAGCATTTTCCAGATCTGCAAGTGCTGAGGAAAAAAAAAAAAAAAAAAAAAAAAAAAAAAAAAAAAAAAAAAAAAAAAAAAAAAAAAAAAAAAAAAAAAAAAAAAAGAACATTTGGGGACGAGAAACCCCAAGGGAAGGAACTCAGATGTTCGGGTCAGGCCTTAGAAAAGGTATCAATTCTTCTTTCCACTTAGCACAGCCTGCTGCCTGCCCGGGCTCTTTGTCTCTGCCCTCTTCCCAGTACAGAAAGCATTTCCCTTTTAAATGACATCTGAGCGCTGACATGCTGGAGGCACCCATCCTGCATCATCTCTGGCAGATGGTGCAGCTGGCCACGATTTTTGGGATTGCTTAAATAAAACCGCAGTGCCATATCAAGAAATGCAGAGAAAACGCTCAACAGTGCTTAAGATGTTTAAACATCACAAACTGTCTGAGACTTCGGATCGCTGTACTGCGCATTTTTGGTGATGTAACTGTTCTTACCGATGGTAACAGTGAAATCTCCATCATGATTCACTTCTTTTTCTTCCTGGGAAGCAGAAACAAGTCCTATGATGCTCCTGTTCTGACCCAATATCAGATTCTTTCACCTTGATCTGTTAGGGAGAAGTTTGGACAGTTTTAAGAATACAAGTCAAAGGCTTGAGGTTTTTGGAGGAGGGAGCTCCACTGCTGCCAGCATCAGATCTGGGATGTCCCAATGCCATTAGATGAGAAGCTGACCCACCCCCACAGCCCACAAAGTCAGTAGCATCTCTGCATGGCTTTCACAGACATCCAAGCAATTTTAGTGCAAGCAGCAATGTTCAAGCCAACATAAATGCTGGTTTTCCTTTTCCCCTATGGTTTCGCTTGCTTTGAGCTAATTAGCCTGATGGCCATTTCCCTGCCCCCTGGAGATACCATGTTTAGTGGTATATGTATTTTGGGAAAACAGCTTTTTAAGTGAAAATTGTCATTGTCATATCCAGGAGTCATTTAGCGCTTTCAAGCTCTACAATATCCTTGGTTTTTCTACTAGTAGTTAAAGTTAGATGTGATACTGGAAAATAACATTAGGAAACTTTAAGTCATAGCTGCTGAAATCTGGGGTTGTAAGAGTGAAAAAAAGGGATTTAATTTTAGCTTAGTGGGGCCCCTTTGAAAGTTTAAGCCATGGTACATCCCAAAGTACATGAGACAACCTTGCAGCATTTACTATGAAGTTACCACAACAGAGCCATTACCTGTAGGGATCAAAGGAGATCCCTCACATCTGCACTCTAGTAAAGCTACTGAATCCAGTGATATCTGGGAATCTGCCTAAAATTTACTGCCTTACCCAGCAAGGGAGGCACTAGGGACAATGCTAACACTCCAGAAACAAATGAGGGTGCCTGGATTTCATTCTCCGAACCCTCCTCAGTGTTATCTTGCCTCAGGAAAGAGTGCCTGTCACACCAAAGCAGAGCAGCTTGCAAGGATATTCAGAAGGCTCAATACGAAGACAATCCCTTAGAAGCTGAGACGAATTCCCGTGAAGTTGCAGGCAGGTATTTATTTATTTCCTGGTCATACTGACTGGCAAACCTCTTGGCCTTTCAGAGCACCATCACCCAGGGCATCACCGCGGCATCCTCCTCACGTTGCCTTTCCCCGTAGTCCCAAAACTAGTTGGGAAAGCAGCAGGAAAAGGGCACAGAGCCCACTCCAGAGCCCCTCACACATCTCTCCATGAAGGGGATGCCGTGAGCACAGGCAGCTGGCCGCCTTCCACGGGGACCCCGTACGCGGCTCCACCGCACCCGGGCTCCTCTGGCCTCAGATGTCAGCTGTTATTGCTCAGGTCTCCCATATCACTGGGCCACCTGTACAACATATTTAACATACAGCAGTTATTCTGTTGCTGTTTGCACTGAAATAATCTTGGCAGGAAATGGTAGTTAAACCCGAGCATAATTTTTTATGCCGTGTGTAATGTAAAATCGCCTCTTTGGATAAGTAATATACTCTCTTGGCCTTCTTCGAGGAATACAGTATTTCTTGTCCCACCAGAGATTGGCTAGAATTGGTATTTAATATCTGAATGTCTCCATTCCAGGCCCAGATTGCAATTCCTGGAAAAAAAGGGCCACTTTTACAAACTCTGGATTTTAATGTGGGATACGGTTGGCCCCTTCTCAAGCGCTGAGATGGTAAAAGGCAGCCCCATCACAGAGTTAGGTTTGAATGGAGGCCTCAGATTCAAACACAGATCCAGGATTTGGATGTGCTTTTTGGATTTAATCCCATTCCCAGCCATATCCATTTGATGTAGCAGAGCAGACTATCACGCTGGTTGAAAAAACACTTGGATCATCTATTGCCTTTTTTTTTTAAAGTGAATTTCAAATTTTTTTCTACCAAACTTAGAGAGAGGTGACAAGACTCTGAACATTACAAGAACATCATTTTCTGCTGCTGCTGTTCAAGGGATACAGTAGTTTTTTGCCCTCTGTTTGCTTTAAAAATTAGGTTGCTAATGATAATGTTCCTCTCATAGATGATCTTGTACTTTTTAATGATACCCATAGTTTTCCTCCACATAAATGACTAAATCCTCACAGAAATCTCTGTCTTGATTAGCACTCCTGCTAGTAAAATTTCACATACTAAATCAGTACCAGCTGTAGCAAGAAAGAATGAAAAAGGCAAGTGTAAATGTTCCATATGCCCTACCAAATTGGCATCTGTGTCAGTAACCCTGTGTTTTTTTAAACAATTGTATACATACATTCTCAGAAGTGTTTTGCTCACAGGATTCTGCAAGCAAAATTTCCTCTGTTGGTACATCACTGAAATGTCACATCTTATAAAAAAAAAAAAAAAAAAACCCAGCAAGGAGTTTTGCTGCTTCTCCTTCCTACACCCAACCCCCGGCGCGCAACTAAAACGAGTTTACCTTGAGTTTACTGCACCTTTATTTTGACGTCTGCTCCCCGTAACCTGACACTGGGGCACTTCTGCAGAGCCGCTCCACATTTAGCGCTCGGCTATTAGCAGCACCACCGAAAGCCAAGGCTACTACGGCACTGTAATTATTTCCAAGCTGAACTCAGAAATCAGGACTCGGGTTCCAGCTTGGCGGTTGGGGAATGCTGGGCTGGGAAGCGTTCCGAGGAGCCAGCGGCTCCCCTTTCCTGTGACTCATGAGTGATGATGATGCGGGAGGGAGCTTGTCCCCGGGACAGCCCAGAGCTCTGACCCAGAATGGTCAGTGACTCAGCTTCATCGTGCAAAATCATGATTTGGGTGCAGGGCAGGCCATAGTTACATCCTCTTGGACCGGCCTTGTGGTCATAAACTGGCCGAGCACCACCTGCTCCATCGTTTTGCTGCGCGGCAGCAGAAAGCCTGGAATAGGATGCGATAAATACGAGCACAATACAACTTAAAAGTAACCAACTACGCCCTCAGCGAAAACACTTTTAAGTCACCTTATGCCTATCCTGCGACTGGAATTCAATCAGTATGGCAGAGCGGACTTTCAAAGTTAAACAAACATCAACTAGTGCCCCAAATGGGGAGCAAATGCCGCAGCCTCCCTGTGGAAAGACGATACGGAGCCAGACTGTCCGCTGGTGTAAGTCAACCTAACTTCACTGGACTTCAGTGGAGCTGTGCTGATCAACAGCAGCTGACTGTCTGATCTACTGCAAACCCCAAAGCCAGCCATCGTCCTTCCCTGAAGTGGGATGATACAAAGTAAACAGGAAGAATTAAGGAGCCATTAAGGGCATTAATCAGATGTCTCTGGGAATAATAAAATATTTCTGCCATTTCCAAGATTCGGAAGGACCCTCTCTCCTCGCATTCTTGGCCATGGCAAAGCAGTGACACTTGTTCTGCTATTTTCCAGTGCAATGTGGAGTGTATATTTGCACATCATGTCATGCCTGTCCATGGTAATCAGAAGCCATTATTTCCAAAAGCTCAAAATTCCCTCCTGGACTCTGGTATGCCAAGTTTTAGTTCACAGTGATTTCTTTTCTTTTTTTTTTTTTTTTTTTTTTTTTTTTTTTTTTTTTTCTTTTTTTTTTTTTCTTTTCATGGTTGATTTATAATTGCTGCAAACAGAAGTTTATAATGGAAATGCTGACAAAACCATAACTACAGTGTCACGTTAATGCTACTATTGCTGCCTCTCTGTCAGACTTTCCTTTAACCCTATGAGCCAAGGCTTGTATCGAGTATCAACAAAAGCCCAGAATACTCAGGGCATAGTAGACAGAGTGGAGAACTGGAGACAAAACTCCTGGAATAAAACCCTTGCCTCAGTGAAATCAAAGGGATTTTATCCCTGGTGTCTAGTCTCGCTTCTGCCAGACACTTGCTGTGTAATTTGGACAAATTTATCCTCTGCAAAATGGACAGGAAAATATGTTCTGCACTTACCTTACAAGTGTTGCAGCATGATTAGCAAATCATGCTATTAAAGGAAGCAGGGGAAGGCTGAGGATAAATATAAACACTACCTACAAGTTATTTACCAAAAAAAAAAAAAAAAAATAGGCAAATATTATTCTAGGAATCCTCTATGCATGGGAGATGGTAGGATCTTTACAGCTCTGCCCGCATGTATTTACACAGAGACATCAGTATAATATCTCCCTGCAACACCCTCATTATTTGGGTCTTGTCTCATGTTTGTGATTTTCAATTTTATTCCTGGCTGAGGTCTCATTCTTGACATTTTTATGTAGGTTTTGTATGCAATAATATACATACATTAGATGGTGTTGAAACCATCAACCCGAGTTACTATTTTTAGCAGAGTGCAGAGGATGGGACAGAGACATAAGTGACAATTAAAGAGAATATATTCAGAGCTGTCATCAGCAAATATTTTTTTCTCTTGCCAGGAATCCTAAGTGTGTAGAAGGGCCTCCTAGGCAAAGTTTTTAAGGCAAAACTGTCGGGTCATTAAAAAAAAAACCAAAAAAAAAACCAAAAAAAAACCCAAACAAGAAAATGACATCATCAGGAGGCTGGGCTGCTCCAAGGTTCCCGAGAGCTGAGTTTGAGAGAAAACTCCTATTTTCTCCCTCAAATTGCTGATCTGCCTCTTTGCTTCTGTACTACCCGTGCACAGCGCCTGCAGATGTATATAATTTACAGAGCTTTCCTCATCAAGGGGATTAGGCAGCCCTCTTTCAATATGTATAAGAAGTACAAACACACACTTACCCACTATGTTTTACGCCTGCCTGCAACAAACAGCTGAACAGATTGTGATGAAATTCAGACATTGACAATCTGACAAAAAACTTCTTTTTTCCCTTAAAATCTGGCTTCCAGAAGTTTTGCAAATCTAAATATTTTATTTGAATACCGCGAGGGCCCCGATCTTATGGAAAGCCTACGAAGCAAACATGGAGATATATGTGGTTAAGGAGGGGGGAAAAAAAAACCCGAGCACAGACACATACACAAAACGCATCTATTTGGTGCAACTTGCCAATTTTCACAATGACTCGGGTGTGTTTTCTCTCCCTGGCTCCAGAGACTGTAACCAGACTCCTCTAATAAGCACTTTTTGCCCACCAGTGTGTCAACGGTGCTTTAACAGTAGTTTCAGTGTCAAATTGCCCTTTCCTCAGCAGGGATTGTTAAGCCTTTCTGTATTATACTTCCAAGACTCTCACGAGCTGGAGTTGGGAGATATAATATTTTCTTTGAAGTTTGCATTTCACAACACACTGGGATGCAAACAAGCTCCAGTTTCTCAGTAGTCAAACAATTCTGGCACACAGGGACTAGGACTAAATATTGTACCAAATTTTCTAATTACGTCTTTGTGATATTTACCACACGATGTTAGGTGAAAGCAGATTCTAATCAATATAAACCCCCTTGTCTAAACAGGACATCTGGGCTTTGAAATATTCTGTTTGTTGCCTCGAAATTACCCTGTAGCAAGCCACTGTAACACTATAATATCTTAGTCATGGAAAACTTTGGAGTATTTCTGATAAACTTATCATAAACAGATGAGTGCTTTCTCTCTTACAGTATTAAGGTGATGTAAAAAGTGAAGATAAAAGTCAGCTGTATGCATAAAATCATAGAGACTTATGCCAACAAAATGCTGTGTTTACAAGTTTAAAAGCTCCAAAGTCTGAAAAGGCAAAAAATTAGGATTCTTAAAGTAACACTAACTCAGCCACATGGCACATCCTGGCAAGCACATTTAGCAAAATAAACATTAGCATATTCATATACACACTTCTAGAGCGACGTATTTTTAATGTGGCCAAACTAATTCAACAATGGGAATCTCAACTTTTCTCATTTTATGGCCAGATTCTCAGCTGGCAGAGACATATTATTTCAACAAACCGACATCATCGACAGCAGCGAAGCAGCGGAGCTGCTTCCTTCTGAGCAGGCAAGTGCCAGTGTCTGATGCACTTACGATGACAAGTCTCTCTTTCTGACTTTTATTATCAATATTCATACAACAAGATAGACAGATGTGACTAAGGCTCGGCTCCTCAGCCTGAATCCTGAGCCTTCCAGTACAAAAGCATTCATGAGAGTCACTTTTTTTTGCCTGTATTCTGTCACGTAAGAGAGTCGGAAGGAATCCAGCCTTCCCGGTAGGAGGATTTCACAGCACAAGACTTGGACAGTTGTAACTCTTTGGACCTGAATTTTGGACGATGCTGATTTTTACTGATTCTCTCAGCTTTATCTGACAGTTTCTTGATTTGTTCTTCCGACAACGACAAACTGCACTGGAGGGGAACATCTCCCCACTCACCACAGGCATGTCAGCGCAGGATCCGCTCCCACATGCAAACCTTCCCACAGAGAAAGTTTTCTGTGCTGAGGACATTCTCTGTGGATAACAAGGCACATCCAGGCTCCCAAAGCAGCTGCCTGTGCAAAGCTGGCTTATCCCATCACCCCTGAATTGCCCTCGGTGCAGAGGATCTTCGGATGGCGCAGGGCCAACGACACCAGCCCTTCTGCCATCCCAACCTCCCATCACGGGCGCCCTCCCATCATGCCAGGGCTCGCCAGCCTGGGATAAGGGGATCTAAAAATGACACAAAGCCCCCTTTGCCCCACCTTAATATGACCTACACTAAATCCAGCTTGGCTGGGGCTGAGGATCAAGGCCCTTAGACACTCTTAACTTAATGCTCCAGGTAGGAATAAAACTCCCCCCCTACCAGCCCCTGTTTATTTTTATTTTTCTAGTGCTCAAAGTCCTCCTCAGGACTACAGCCCTGCCGAGTGATACACTCTATAAATACGGAAAAAACTCAAAAATTCTCAGTTTAAGAAAAGGTTATATGAAGAGAAGGTAGTGAGAGGCAATTGCAGGCATATCGTTTGTATACACTATGTGCAAATAGTTTGTTGTTTGAACCTCACCCAGCTGGACTTAGAGGCATCCAGAGCAAGTTGGTTAATTGTTAACAGGCTTCATAGAGACACACGGGGAATTAATCCTCAGATCACCTCTTTTACACTTTGCAAGTCACCAAAAAAAAAAAAAAAAAAAAACCAAACAGATAAGCTTAGCTCTCTGTACCATTTCAAACAGTAAATGTTGCCGTTTCAGAGTTAGATATGGAAGGAAAAAAAATAAAAAGAAAACTAGAAAGCACTTCACACCTTTGAGCTCTCTAGCCTGTTAACAAACTGGAGAGATATTGGCAAAGAGGTCCAAAAGTTAGTAGGGGCGACAGACAGAAGAACAGACAGTGCAATTGCTTCATTTCCATAAGTGCTCATGCCAAAAAAAAAAAATCGGATTTGATTAATAATTAAAAAACAAACAAACAAAAAAACCCATTATCTTTGAGAATCAGGAATAAGTCTGGCCGGGAAGTTCAGAAAGGCCTAGACATATAAAAACAAAGTGTTACAGGGCTTTGAGGCTTTGTTTACAGCCCTTCCACATGAGTTGCCTGGTTCCCATCCCACAGGGGGGGTTTTTTGGTGCAGTTGGGGGGGGACACCCACCCCAGGACCCTCGGCCAGGAGCACCCAGGCCACAGGGTGGGAATGGCCATCTGAGAGCCCCGGGCCAATTACCCAGTAACACCCCCAAGCTCTGAAGATCTAAAGATCCCCTGAATAATCCTATTCAGGGAGAAGAATTATAACCATGAAGGGCAAAAATGGGGGGGAAATGGGATCCTTCCTCAGGCCCCTGGCAGACACGGAGAGGACAATGGGGAAATAAGAGCTAGCACAAAAGTTTCCTCGAGTATGTCCTCAGCCACTGTGGTTTCAGATGAGAATTTCCAGAGGCAGGAACTAAAAGAATATTATGATTTTCTTTGGGGGATTAATTACTTTGCTGCTTGTTACCTTTTGTTAGAGGCATGACACCCCGTAACCTTGTTGCACAAGGCACCAGATGTCCATTTAAATATCAGTTTTGAGAGAAAAATGTTTGTTTTCCCATTTGGGTCAAGAAGTTATTTTCTTTCTGCTAGAAACCCCATGAATCTTAAGGTGAGCAGACACCAAAATGTGCTACAAATGATACAGACGGGTGCTGAGTTCCCTGAGTGAAAATAAATATATAAAGGCAGTCCTTCCTCCCCCTTGCCTTTGCTAGGGACATGTATCCCCTTACAAATAAAAAAAGTATTAAGAACATGTTATGAAAAATAACAAAGAATAGCAGAGAAATCAAAAAGTGAGTGGCACTTCAGATGGAGTTTAGCAAATTAAGTCATTGACCTGAAGAGGAGATTAATACCAAACAAGGTGCCCCTTCTTCTGAAGTAATGAATATTCTTCAAACAGCAAGGGAGCACTGACTGCTGTTTGATGCTGATGACATTGAAAATTTAGGAGAACAGAAATTCCATCATTTTTCATTTGTATGCAAATGTGCCTGTTCCAGAAATTAACCCCTGAACCCCATGTCAGTTTTCATCTGGAGGAATTCTCTTCGCTAGCATCACACAGCGCAGCCTTGCTGCTATCCTGGGGTCACTGGGGCTTCCCCACACACAACAACACAAAACCCTAAAACAAAACAACCAAAAAAAAAAAAAAAAAAAAAAAAAAAAAAAAAAAAAAAAAAAAAAAAAAAAAAAAAAAAAAAAAAAAAAAAAAAAAAAAAAAAAAAAAAAAAAAAAAAAAAGGAAAGAAAGTAGGGTGGGGGAAATTGGCCAAATCATGCCAGGCTTTGTTTCCCCCCATTAATGGGGTATAAAGGAGCAATAGAAGCCAAAGCCCGTTGTAAAATGCACATCTCTAATGCCTGGCTCTGGGTCCTGGCATCATTGTCATGCAAAAGGCAGCTTTACCTCTTTAGGCAGAGCAGCACCCACTAATCACTTCCACTGGTGTTAAGGTGAACCTCGGGCCAATATACAACCCATATTACTCTTCCTTTCAGCTCGGGCTTCCACTGTTAAAAAGTTCCTTTGTCACTTAGCACCTTAGACAAATGCGACTATCTGCATCTGAAGGGGAAAGAGATGATGGAGGTTTTTTAATTGATGTGGATTTAATTATGCTAATTTAGACAGCTGTAAAGCCTTTTCAGCAGAGCTGCATAATGGGACCAGCAAATACAGGTGTCCTTCACTGCAGGCGCTTAATGTTTAACCTCAGTCGTTTTGTAAGGAAGGGAAAATGCAAAGTAATGGTTAACCAGCAGAAAGCTCTATTTCTTGAGGACCTAAAGAGGACACTTCACTTTGATTCTTCCTACAGTCCTATTCAGAGGCTGCAGAAATCTACACACGCTGAGCAGCGCACAAATACTTTTCACTGGAGTGATGTGGATGAGGCTGAGGCACAAAACAAGAGGGTTTGTGTCTGCCACAGACTTCAGTGTCCTGCACAGGGTGTCTTTGCTTAATTTAGGCTATACCTCCAAACAGATGCTTAATTTAAGACAGCCCTTTCTTGTCATATTTTTTATCCTTTGTATCTGACCACCTACAGCACCAGCAATGATTAAAACTAGCAAGCAAAATATCTTCACTGGGTGTTTTCTTAGTGTCTTAGACTCCTCTGAGGCTGCTCTGCCTCTACCCTTCCTAAAGTCCCCCATCCCACACCCTGCATCCTTTCTCTAAGCTGGGGCTGGACACCTCCAGTGACCATCTGGAGATTCATTTCCCAGGGTGTGAGTTTGGCCAGTTTGGGTCCCCAGAGTGGTCACACATCATGTAACATCAGTGCTGCTCAAAGGGAGGAGAGTAAATACTTGCCCAAAGGTGAGGAAGTGACCATTGAGCTTTTTCAATATAGAATGAATCATAGCCCAGACATGCCTGTGGGCAGTGGAACAAGATGATCTTTAAGGTCCCTTCCAACCCAAACCATTTTATGATTCTGTGATTCTTTGGTTCCCAGAGGCAGCCTAAGTGACCAGGTACCTCGTCTCACCTCAAAGCTCTCCTGCTCAGTAGCAATGTCTTCTTTGTGTGACCACAATTTTTTTTTTAATAGAAATTGCTCTTTATTAAACACTATTGGACTAGGACCAAAATCTTTGGCATGCAAGTTCTATTAGACTTCACTGAAGCAATTTCAGGTGTTACTGGCTGATCTACACATCACCCATTGCTGATGCAGCAAGCACAGTCTGCTCAGAAAGGTGGACTTTGATCCAGTGCTTTCCTTCCAGAACATCTCTTTTTTTAAGGAGTTCTCTCAAGCTGCTGAATATGCTGAAATATGCTCTACATCATCAGATGGAGCTGATTTGTGGAAGGCAGGAGAGCAAAGATTAAATCCAGGTGTAGAAAACTATCTGCTCCTACATCTTCTTTAGGTCTCCTGAGGCAGCAAGAACAGAGATAATGTGGAAAATTTTTTTTCCATAACAGGACATAGTGTGTTGTCCCACTGCATGGTGGGAGATGGTCTGCATACCTGTGGCTGTCTTCATCAGGGTAACACCTGGATGCTGCACTCTCTCTATTCATTCCTACAGTGCAGTAGAAATGGGCTTTTATCCCATTCTGAGCTTATATGATTTGCCCAAGGTCATTGAGAGCAGGCAGAAATTCAGATTTTAACTTTTTTTTCCATTGTTTCGTTCCCCAGCCTCCAGTTGAATCCCCCCGCCTTTCCCCACCTTTTCCCTTCCTGTCTGCATTTCACCTACTTAGCTCCAGGCACCAACTATGGCAATCCTCTGCATTTTGGCAACAGTTCCTGTTCTGGGAAATGTTAACGACGGGCACCAAGGGGTTAGCAAAGTCCTGTACTTCAACCAAATTACCCAGCTTCCAAGTCTGCAAATTCTGCTGCCTAGATACAGATAATTCTCCCCAAACACTAAGTCCCCTTGTCCCCTCAGCTCCTCCTCAGGAACAGCCAACTGCAGAGCTCTAGATAGCTATTATATCCACATGCATATATTATAAGCATTAGCTTGACGAGCTTGCCCATGACAGTGTCAGTCAGACTTCACTTCATCCTCCTCCTGTGGTCCAAAGCTGGATCCATCACCCACGGGCCCACGCTGGGCTCGCTGAAGGGCCAAAAGCCAGCTGATCTGGAGGATATCCCTTCCAACAACCACACCTGACTTCCTGGCCCGCTTCCCCCAAAGACTCCTCGGTTTTTCGGGCAGCTGGGACACCGACAGCGAGCTCGGGGTTGGGTCAAGTTTTCCTCTTGGCTGCTTTGAGCTCTTTGATGCCATTTTCCTTGACTCACCCTTGATTACCAGCGAATGGTCTCTATTACATTTTCAAATAACCTGATATCCACACGAAAGGCTTTGGGGTAGGTTTTATTTCAAGTGTTATCCATCCTTACAACTGCCTGATGCAGAAATGTAAGAACTGGTCCTAGAGCCAACCAAATCCTGGTGCTTAGCCCAGCAGTGTATCAGATTTCTTCTGCATACCCAGGATGAAAATGCACAGGCTCTATAAGCAGGGACAGCCAACATACAACATACCAGTGTAAGCATTCTGCTCTGTATTTTAACAGATTTTAGGAATTTGTGGGAATTCGCTTTAATGCTGGCGAGTAAAAGATCTGAAGAAATGCTCTTGCACAAAAAAAAAAAAAAAATACAAATGGGTGCTTTGATAACTATAAAGCTGCTTTCTTGGACCAGGAGCCCACATTAGGAACCAAATAAAATATTTAAAGGCAAAAATCTTGCAAAGTTTCCTCCTGTGAAAGGGAAAATATGGTCTATGCTATACCAGACCTTCCTTTTGCGAAATCTGTTTAGGAGTTGCCATGAAACAAGCAGGATTCAACAAAGAGCTTGACAATTTCTGTTAAAGTTGCATTTATATATATTTCTAGGAACCGTTGGTTTGATTTTTCTTTAAAACCAAGTGTCAGGTTGCATTTCAGACCACATATAAATATAATTTTGCTCTCACATAATGCTTTTGTATCTGGTGTAATTCCATTTACTGCAGCGGTGTTATCTTTCAGTTACCCTAATGGGAACAAGAGCAGAATTACACTGATAAAAAAAGCTGCTTGCAGAAAGAAATACAGAAAGAAAGAACACTAGAATAAATACTTCCTCTGGCTTATTTAATATATTTGCTCGTCCAAATTGTAGCAAAGATATTTATTTCAAGAAATAGTGTTTGATCAGCAAGAGTAAACACTGGTATGTCTAAAACTCCAACAAGCAGTTTTTACAGTTCATCAAACGACACCTAAGATTGTTTAGTTGGGCAGCTAAAAGAAACAACAAAAGGTTTCAGGTCATATAATTATACCCTTCTGTTTCCCAACTTTCTTAGAAATCTCTGCCTAAAAATAAGCCCAGCATCCGGATGCCTTGAACAATTGGCTTATTTTAAAAGATATAAAAACTCTTATTGCAGCCTTAGCCATTTTAAGGTCTTGGTGCTGACACAGAGTAATAGTGCTTAGCACTCCTATATACCGCTTTCCATCTCCAAAGCACTTTACAAACATTAGCTAATTAATCCTCACAACACCCCTGTGAGGTATGTAGGTAAGTATTGTCATCCAATTAGGTAAGTATTAAGCACTGTTATCCCACCAGATAAGTATTAAGGTCTCCCATTTTACTGGGGATCCTGAGGACAACAGGTTAAGTTACTTACCAAAGGTCACAGGGGGAGTCAGAAGAATAAAACTTGGGATGCTTTGGTTTCTTGGTAGCTATTCAGGCATCCGGGCAGCATCCGGTGCTGCTCCCTCCACAAAGGCACCCGTGGCCATCCACATGGAAATTAGGGTTTTCTATAACCCCCCCAAGACACAGAGCCATGGGTACAGCACTGGGGAAAATAAACACCTGAGAAGCTTCCCATCTTTGGGGGGAGGCAAAGATGACATTGCCTAGCAAAATTCTCAGGAAGTTTTTAAGTATAAAGGTCTTGGATTGGTGTGTTTTCCTGTTGGCACACATGGACAAGCATTCTGAAGTATCATCAGGCCTTGCCAGTCACAAGCTCCCTCTTCCCCTCCCAATTTGCCTTTCTTTCCCACCTTCCCTATAAAGATGGACTCATAAAGTCTCACATCTGTGCCACAAAGATATAAACCTTTCAGTCGTGGTTTGTATCTCCTGAACATAAAAAAAAAGTCCATTTTGAAGCCCCAGCTCAGAAGCTTCCAGGTTTGTAGGTAGGCTTGAATCCACAAATATACACTTGATGTGGCAAATCCCTTTTCAGAGGATCTAGAGAACAGGGCCAGCCCAGCACATTTTGGGTTTAATCTACTCTTAACAGATGTCAAGCTGGTGAAATAACATCATCTGTCCCCCAGAGACAATGCCAGTGTTCACATCTGCTTCTAATTTCACTTCATTGCTAGAGAAAAAGTGAAAGCTCCTACTGTAGCTCCACTTAAAGCTGTGTTTGCAAGTTAAAAGAGTCCTAACCAAAGGCCCAGAGGTTGGACTCAATGATCTTGGAGGTCTCTTCCAGCCTAAATGATTCTGTGACTCACTTGGAATCCAGAGGGTTTAGTGAAGTTACTGAACTCTGTATCTGTCTAAGATGACCTCCAAAAAAGTGAAACCCACCCCAAGGGAGCCTGTAGAAGCTGAAATCCCAAGCAGGGCATACTGCAGGGTCTGCCCAAAGACCCAGCATTTGCTGAGACATGAAGGACAGTCCTGACTGTCCTCTGCTCAGCAATTTGGCACTTGACTAGTGGCAATGTCATCCAGCCCTTCCTCTGAATGCAGGGGACCAGCACAGCCATGCTCCAGCTCGAGCTGGAGCTGAGGCAAGTCCCAAGTGTTAAAACAAAAAAAAAAAAAACCTTGACTAGATTTCAACTGAGCTGATTTATGTTTTCAAGTGGAAGGCAGTTTTAGCTGAAGTAAACCACACAGTTTTTAGATCATTCAAAATTCATGGCAGTTTGATCCCACAGGACGTCAAACAAACACAAATGATTTGCCAGGAATCCCTAAAAATTGAAATAACCAAACCTTGTGCAGTTCCAGCAAAAAGTCTTGAACAACTTTTAAGGGAGGAAAAAAATAAGGACTAAAATAGAGAACTTTTATTTTATTCATCTACACAAAAGCAATTCCAATGCAATACATGTCCAGATCAAATGCACACAAAAGAGCAGCCCAAACATCTAAGATCTTGAAACTCAAAAACCCTCCAACCCACAAACCAATAGCAAATAGACAAATGGAAATAAGAGTCATGAAAACAGAAGGTGGATTTAGATTCTGTTGCATTCTTTGGAGTGGTTTTATTATAACATCAAATTAAAATAAAAAAAAAAAGAAACAACCAACAAATTGAGAAGGCTAACACAAAATGCAGGTAACAGACATATCAGTTACAGTCATGAGAAAGAAATAGACAACCAAAACTGTGACAAGAATGTGCTTAGTTATTATATTCTTTCAAGCTTGGTCTGCCAGCATTTTTTCCCCTTTTCTTTTTTTTTTTTTTTTTTTTTTTTTTTTTTTTTTTTTTTTTTTTTTTTTTCTTTCTATGTACTGGTCATCAGTGTCTGCCAAAAGACTTTCTGTGGATTTCTGCAATCCCATTTCCCCAAAAATGGAGGAAAGGATGTTTCTCCACAACCACAAGACCCAGCTGTAGGTTTTACACCATGATTTGTAGCTGTAAACCAACACAGTGACAGGCCACCCCCCTGCCTAAATAACCAAGACCAAGCCAGTACCGAATTTTCAGTGTGGGTTATGCAAAAGGAAAGGATTAAAAAATGAAAAGAGCATTCACTTCATGTTGCTCCTTTAAAACATTATCACATAGCTCCTTTTTTTTTTTTCCCCTAACCTGACCTTTTTTTTTCCCAACGGTTTATCTATAACTTAATATAACTAATTCTTTTGAAATAATGTTCACAGTTAGCATAATTGGTGTTATATAGTTCTAATGTACATTACAGAATATTCTGTCACTAGACACTAAATTGAAATTTTAAAGAAAATGATAGAAATAGCTGTAAGGGAAAAAGTACCCTTTTAAATCTAATTTGCTATGCACCGCAGTAGGGTAATGGATGCAATGAAAGTTCCTTTATTGAGTTCCCATGTCCAAAAGGTATTTAGGTAGCAAAGGATGTTAAGCAGACCCCCTGTGCTCCTCCTTTAAGTAAAGATAGCAGGAAATAAGGTATATAGGTTTGTGTCCTCCTGATTTTTATTTCCTCAGGAGTACAACTTATGCAAAGGGCACCTTAGGCTACTTGGAGGATCACAAAGGGTGCCCTCGACCCCCTCGCTGTCTGCATGAATAGAAGCATCTAAAGGATGGCTGAAGCCATACAGCGAGTTAAATCCTTCAGGTGGGTCTTTTCAAATTCCAATAGTGAGGAGTTACTGGAGAATTGGTAAGGATTTCACTAGGCCCCAGCAGGTTTGAGATCAAAAGCCCTGGTTAAATAAAAGCCTGTTGGGAAATCTTAAAACCTCTTTGTAATGTAACTTAAAAAAGTTAATACAAAGAGCCCTTAGACTGAAGCCTGTAACAGCGTGAACAAAGAGTATATCAAAACTGATTCCATTAAGGGAAGGCAGACAAATAAATTCATTTAATTTAAAGCGAAATCAGATATATTGCTCTGCTAAAAACTAAAAAGCATACCAGGAAAAAAAAAAAAAACAAAAAACAAACAGATTTTACAATACACATGCACATAGAGCTGTGCATAATAGAGACAGATATATATAAAATCTATTTATAAATATCTCTCAGAACAGAGAACAGAACATTATATACACACGTATATGTTTAAGTATCAATTTATCCAATATGTGCATGTGTGTGTGTGTATAATTCTAATATATACATATTTTTATCATTTATGAGGCCTCACGCTGGGCTCTCAAATCTGCAGTTTAGATATATCTATATATGCATCCAGAAAAACGCAGCTGAAAGAGCCCCTACATTCAAACTGACACAAGACATTTTTCAACCCAATTAATTAAAAAAGATGGGTGCTCATCAGTCAGCTGGCACAGGATTTTTCTCCATCATCTTGCCAAAGTGTCACAGTGTTACTTGCGCAGCATGTTGGAAACAGAAAATCTGGGACTAGAATTTCGGTATCATTTATTAGCTGACCTCTTTCTGAGCAGCTCTTACACTTTTAACTCGTTGGGGGTCCTGCACCGGAGGCAGAGGGGTAGAAAAGACACGGAATTACATATACTGGGAAAGTCCTTTAGGATCTTCCTCTCGGCGACAACGCTGGAGATGTCGTGTTGGGAATCAGTGGCACATACACCAGGGATTGTGCTCCACATGCACGAAGCAAGCTGTCTCCTGAGCCTCCTACAAGCATGGGATGGCTGTGTCGCTGTGGGACCATGACTGGGGGTCCCTCACCGCACCCCAGAGCCATGTCACTTGGGTGCAGGATGCTCTGGACCCCTTGGGAGGAAGGAGAAAGATGCCCTGTTGCCCCATGGCTCACTCTCCCCCACAACAGTCACTAAGAATTTTCCTCCCTCCAAGAAAGGAAAGGAGGCTCTGAATTTTGTGCAGCTTTTTGAGGCTTTTCACTGTGATTGTGATGTGGGGGAGATGTGGATATCTCCTTAGCTAGAAAGCATATTTCACTGTTTAAGAAATAACCCTCCTCTCACAGACTCCATAGGCTGTGCAGCTGGAAGAGGGAGATGTGTTGTACAAACAAGGTGAACGCCTGCAAAGATCATTGTCAGTGTTCTACAGGATTTTTTAAAAAAGCTTTTTTTCCTTATAATTAAAATCTGACGTTTTAGTTCAGCAATGCCAATCCTGAGCTGATTCAGGTATATAGTGAGGGAATGGGTTCCACCCTCATTCTCTTAAACCCCAATTCATGCTACCAACCCATGAAATGCTGCCCCTACAGCAAGATCAAATCACTCTGTCCCTCTCTCCTTTAAGAACATTTTTCTGGATATAAGAAATCATCAACATATCTCACATATGGTGCCTTTCATCCCAACAAGCAGCACTGGTTTCACAACCTACACTAATGGTAATAATTTTACTTCATTTTATTTAACCCCCTAAAATGCACATCAAATCAAAATCTTTTAACTATATGTCTGGTTATCATTTTAGCAACACCATTCCTGGTGACTTTGGGTAGATTCCATCAAATTAGTGCAGGGACCACTATTATCAATAGACCATCACTCTGTGCACCAGATCACTGTGGTGTTTGCCAAAGAATTGCCATTTGCAAAAGAAACCACAGGAAAATGGCAAAATGAAGAATTACAGATGAACATGGGACCGTGGGGGAAAGTCAGGTAAAAGGTATTTGGGGATCTCAGTCTCAGTGTTGTGACTCACATCATTGCCCTAGCAACAAGTGTCTAATAATCACAGGAGATATATGTCACTTTTGACTCCTCGTTTGAGAGAAAACCTCTCCGAAAACACTGTATCTAACAATATCAAATTTTGTGGTGGCTTCTGCATGGGTGGCAATTTTTAGACCGGTAGAGGATGAGGTTTTCTGGTTCAAACAGGAATTAATTGAGGGAAGTCATATGGCTTGTGTTACACACGTGACACCAGATGATCCAAATAGTCCTTTCTTGGCCTTATAATCTACAAATAACCTTGTAGAGGTACTGCTCTCCTGTGGATTAGTGGCAAACCAATGCTCCTCTTGCTTGGATGAGTTTTCTGATCTAAATACCATCCAGACCTGCGTGGCCTACAGGATTTGACTGGATCACAGTCTCAGACGGAGCCATGGCCAATTAATGCCAGACATGAGATAAACCAGGGTAGGACATGCTCTGCTTCAGGTGCTGTGTGATTCTGGAGTGTCATTATAGCTACGTAATGAGCCAGGTCTGAAGTAAAACAATTTTACTATAAAGATACAGATATATTATTTTACACTTGCTATCTCTACATTACCTTGCACTGTTAAGGCCCAGACTGTCAGACACCACGGAGCTCTTTGGCTCTGAATCAGTCAGCTTCATCTGCAAGAGCAGGGTATAACTGTGGCCATTCTGTAAGCCATAAAAATAATAAGATTCCCGAATGGTATGTGTAACAGCACAACCTGTTCCTACATGGAGCATATGGGGTCTTGTCTATCTTGCTTGGATTACGAGGCAGAGGAAATACCTGGCTGAGCAGCGCTCAGGAATTATCAGGTGGATGATATTACAGGAGCAAGCCGGGTCTTTATTTATTTGCTTTATATGGATGCCTCTGAGTTCAGGTTGTTGGAGTTACATAATGCTAAGCTTCCTCCCGGCTGCCCCACAGCCCTGATTGCTCCCAGTCCTTTCTTGTGATCCATCAGCGCAGTTTTGCCGGGAAATCCGTGCCAAGGAAAGCCAGGCTGCATTCCCCCAAACCAGAGGTGAGCTCAAACTCAGTCACCACCCCAAACTCATCTAGAAATGTCTCTAAAGTGCAGCTGTCCCTATTCCTGTCTCTATCTCTCAACAGGCCTTGTTTTACCACCGAGGATAATTTTTGATGTAGAAGGAAATGTGTCATTTATTAAGTCAACAACCACTTCCTTGAGCATCTTCAAAAATTTCTTCTGAGGTTTCCCTTTCAAGTACTGATCTTATTCAGATCTGCAGGCTGAGACTGTAGCAAAAGGTGAAAAAACTTCCAGTCATTACATTGATTAATCAGCTGCTGAAATTTGGCTTTCCAGCCTGACACCTCCATTCTCTGAATCTGTGGCCCTACTGCAATGCAATCAATTCGTCTGTGCAGGCTCCAAAACCCCAGAGCCACACGATGCAAAAAGGCAATCTTCTGCCCTCTTTGACCACAATAAGCAACATTACTGGAATCACCGCTCCCGTGCAAGTGTTAGCATGACCCCATATTTGTAGGCAGCAGAGTATGACTTCATTAAAAACCATCCCCTGTCTTAGGGACTGGAAGCAAGGCAAGCCAGCATCAGAGCAGCACATGTCTGAAACTGATAGTAAAATGGGTGATGCCTTAAACCCCACCTCTACACTGTTATTTACATACGTATCTTTCATCTGACATGGGCTTCCCCTCCAGCACCTTGAATATATCAGTCCTAAGGAAGAGACTTTAAGTTCAAAGACTGCCATCCCCAAACCAAAGTAGGGGGTTATCAAGTGAGGTGCGCCAAGCAGTAAGACAAAACATATGCATTTTTAATAGATAGCCTCTCCTCCCTCTGAGGAAGCCAAGAAAAGAGACTCTGTGAAGCTTCAGCTGAAAACAAGTTCAGTGGATTTATACTCAGGCTGGTATTCACAGAAAAACAAAATTCACAACTCTCATATATATATATATATATATCTTTGTTAGGTGTTTTCCAAACATTCTTCAAAGCACGCCAGCCCCACCCTTGGTGGTCCTGTTGACCAGGTGTACTCACCTCCACGCAGCATTCAAAAAGAAGAGAGTGAAAAAATAATCATGAAAATAAAATCAAAAAAATAAAAAGGCCATGAAAGAGAAACAAAAATCTCAACAGGTCTGTATGGAATTTCAGCAGCACTTTATTTATTAATGCATATGAAGCTACCACTGTTTTCCAGCTCCCAAAGACAGATCTGTAAGGAATAGGCCACATGCTGATTGACAGCAGCCATAATTCCATACAATGAGACTGTATTAAATTGTTTGATGTGATATGATACTCATCACTTGTAACTGATCAAACACACTGCTGCATCAAACAGTATTACAATACAATCAGGCTGGATATGGTTCCTGCCAAGGCTGTTCATCACATTGCACACTTCTGCATTAAACATATCTATTAATAGCATTGACAAACTACTCCTATCCAGATTTTTTTTTTTTTTTTAACCAAAGAATTGCATGATGTGAAATGTGCAAAGAAATCCATGATAATGCTTTGCAGTTCAGGGCAGCGTTTCTGTGGCTGAATGTTCCAACATGAAAGGCTTTGCTGAATTGGGGATTTTTATAAGGTAACACCAAAACTTGCAAACCTGTGGCCCAAAACAAAGACCTGGCATTACAGATTCCTTTTACTTTTTCTGCTTTCGTTTGGTTTGGTTTTGGTTTTGTTGTTGGATTTTTTTTCTCTTTCCTTCCAAGTTGAAAGATTGGCTATTTTTTGACCAAGATTTTACTTTTGCTGTGCTTGCCCCACAGGAGAGCTGCTCGAGCCTGTTATCTTGCAGGAAGGAGCTGTGTTTGCTAACGCTGACCCTTTTAGAGTAGAGAGACATAAATAAAAGCAGCAAATTCCTTGCCACCACTGCTCCTGCCACAGACAGTAAGGGTGATCTGCCACAGACCATGGGGGACAGGACTCGCTGCAACACGGCAACTGTGGGGGCTCTCTCAGATGCAGATTCTTAAATGAGCCTGGGTCTCTAGAGGGCAGAGGTCAGCTGTCCTCAAATCTGTGTGAATGCTAGATTAAGTTTATTAATCTCCCTGCTTTCACTTAAAAACCAAATTATAGGATGGTTAAATGTTAATGCCCGGGAGCTCGTGACATGATCAATGCCCTCGGCTACCGCTGCCAGGGGGAACACAAGGTGTTCAGACCCCAGAAGGGTATTAGAAGTTAGTGTGACGATGAGGGAATGAATATATTGTCCTTGTGAGTTAATATGTATTTCATGCCCGGTGCACGTTTTGTTTGCAGCAGGTGCAGGGTGTGCAGCTGTCGGCCCCAAAACAGGCACCGATGGCTGCCCACCTTGATGTCCCAGAAGTATAACCTCAGCCACAACTCTTTATACAGGATTTATACCTGTGCTTGGGTGAGATTTGAAACACCCATCTCCCTGCACCGACCCCAAGTGCCCAGGAGCTGCATGAAACCAAGCATGCAATGAACATGGTCTTTAGCAACCTTCGGAACAGCCTCTATCAGTGTATCTCATAAAACTACTCCAGCGTGTAAAAGCGAAGTGATGGACGAGCATGAGGGTTCCATATAATTCCTCCTGGACAGGTATGCTCATCATAGTTGGACAATCTGCCCCCCCTGATTGCGATCTCAGCTTGGGAGACCCAGGATCACATAGCCATGGAAAATAGGAAGTAATATGCAGGAATGCATGCCTGGTTTTCTGAAGCTGGTACCAGGGTTTTTTTCAATCTGGGATTGTATACATTTTACATTTATGATTCTTTTTTTCCCCCCAAATTGCAGTGACAGAAGGTGCCTTTTGTCCTGTTTTTCACTCCTGTAATGTCAGTGTGAGCAGATTAATCTCCTCGCACACGGTAGCGAATTATCCCTGTTGATGGAGCCAGCTCCACAAAGATTACTTAAGAAAGGTGTGCAAGGCATTTCCTTTTTCTAATTAAAAATATTAAAAGCCTTTCAAGATAATAAACTGCCTCAGAGGGTTACCTAAAACACTGGGAAACATTCAGGAAAGGGCTCTCCCACCCTGATGGGCAGTTTTCAGCAGTAACAGCCCAGTGCAGTGTGTATTGCTAAAGAAACGGTAACTATCTGGGTGTAGCTAAGTAATTCAACATGCTGCAAGTTAAATGTAACAGTAGAAAGGAAGAAGTTCAAAAAACAAAGTCCCAGACACTTCAGTGTCGTGCACAGTATGCTAAACTGGGGTATTACAGAAATTGCTGAGAGTTTGGCCACAAAACATTTCATACTGCACCAGCATTCTGCCAGGGCTGGGTTCCAGCAAGCCCAGACAGTCTTTGCCTTTCACCTGTGCTTTTTTTCCCCCCTTTCCTGTTTGTTAACACAACCCAAAATCTGCACCAGAGAATTACAGCCCTTGTCCTGAATGTACCTCTCCGTTTATTAAATCAGCACAACCGAAAAGTCACCACACACCAGGCAAAGATAACAGCAAATCTGCTCTTACCCTCCCCATACCACCTGAGTGCCGCTATTATTCCTCATCCTTGGGGAAAGGACCCCATATGTGAGTTTCAGAAACCACCTCAGTAACTCCAAGCATCATTATCAATAGTAGGATGAACTGCAGCTGGGATGCACTGAGAAGGCACGGTAATACTCGCCCTAATCTCTGCATTCATCTCACTGGCCCTCGCTAGGAAGTTTAAGTACATTTACTGGGGATTCTTCAGCCCTTGAAAGGTAGGAAGACATCTATGAGGCTTGACGTACTAGCTAATTAACTCGGGTTTGGAAAAAAAAAAAATCTTCTTATCTACTTAACTTGGAGACACTCTTTGTTTTTAAGCCTGCAGACTACCTTCTCTTTAAAATGCACGTTACGTACCACTCCGGAGTATGGAATGTATTATTTTTAACGAGGACCTATTTTAACTTGGGCCTAAAACTACTAAGATTTGACAGAGGGTTGTTTAGGCTTTTTTTTTAAAGCTATTTGCAGAATCAGCTGAATGATAGTCTATAGCCTGTGTTTTGCAAGACAGGCTACAAAATCCTCGTGCTTTCCTTCTGTCCTTAAAAATCCACGAATGTCTGAAGCACTTGAAAATGAAGACCCAAATGAACCCCTCCTTCTCCCCTCCATCCCCCCTCCCCCCCTTTAAATCTATAAGGAGTTTAAATAAATCTTTCAGGTTTTGTTTCTCAGTCTCTGGAAGTGGGGAATATTGAGGCTGGGAGAAAGTGATTGAATTCGTGCCTGCAGTGGTTGGGGCACGTGAGTGTTTCCTGCAGCTCCTCTGACAGGAACACAGACACGAGCAACTCCTGTAACATCCCTGCTTGGAATTAAACCACGCTAAAATTTCCTGAGAACTGCATAGAGCAATTTTAAATCCTCACCATATTCCTCACAGATAGAACAGTGGCATGATTGACCAAGCTTTTTTTTTTTTTTTTTTCCTTCTTCTTCTTTTTTAAAGTACACATATGATGATGCATCATAGTTATAAACAGATGGTATTTGGCCTCCTTCCTATTCTCAACATTTGGAATTCCTAAACTATGTGAATTAAACAATAATATTTTATAAACATACAAGGGATTTTGCTCACTGCTTTGTTAACATAGAAATTATACAATGCTGACATTTATTTAAATTTTAAAAAGTAAACAA